GACCTCTCAGCGGCTTTTGATACCATCGACCATGGTATCTTGTTGCACCGGTTATGGGGGTTGGGGTTGGGGAGCATCGTTTTACGGTGGTTCTCCTACCTCTCGGACCGGACGCAATTTGTGTTGGCAGGGGGGCAGAGGTCAACCTCGAGGCGCCTCACTTGTGGGGTACCACAGGGGTCGGTCCTCTCGCCTCTCCTGTTCAACATTTATATGAAGCCACTGGGTGAGATCATCCGTGGTTTTGGGGTGGAGTTTCATCAGTACGCAGATGACACCCAGCTGTACATCNCCGTGCGAGTCTGGATGGGGAGGAACAGGCTTCGTCTCAACCCGTCCAAGACCGAGTGGCTGTGGTTTCCGGCGTCACATCATAGCCAGTTGGTTCCATCTCTGGCTATCGGGGGCGAGTCATTAGCCCCCGCGGAGAGGGCTCGCAACCTGGGCGTCCTCCTGGATGCTCGGCTGTCTTTAGACGATCATGTGACGGCTGTGGCCAGGGGGGGCTTTTCATCAGGCTCACCTGGTACGCCAGTTGCGCCCCTTTCTGGATCGGGACGCCCTACGCACAGTCACTCAAGCCCTCGTTGTTTCCCACCTGGACTATTGCAATGCTCTCTACATGGGGCTCCCCTTGAGGTGCACCCGGAGGCTCCAGCTAGTTCAGAATGCGGCTGCGCGGGGGTTTTTGGGGGCCTCTAGATGCTCCCATGTAACACCTCTCCTGCGCGAGCTGCACTGGCTGCCGGTGGCCTTCCGGGTGCGCTTCAAGGTGTTAGTAACAACTTTTAAAGCGTTCCATGGCAATGGACCTAGGTATTTGCAAGACCGCCTCCTACCAAACACCTCCCTTCGACCAGTCCGCTCCCACAGAGAGGGCCTTCTTAGAGTGCCGTCGGCCAGACAATGCCGGCTGGCGACCCCCAGGGGGAGAGCCTTCTCTGTGGCAGCTCCTGCCCTCTGGAATGACCTACCCCTCGACCTACATACAGTTGCGGACCTGCGCCTTTTTCGCCGAGCCCTGAAGGCCCATCTATTCCGTGCGGCTGGCCTGGCGTAGTTTGGATTGTGTTTCAGTGGGGGGTTTTGTATGGGTGTGTTTTTAGAACAGGCCTATTATTCAATTCGATTTTAAAACAGAAACTATTTATTTATTCGTGGTTTTTAGTATCGCTTGTTCACCGCCCTGAGTCCCGCAAGGGAGATAGGGCGGTATATAAATTTAATAAATAAATAAATAAATAAATAAATAAATAAATAAATAAATAAAATAAAATAAATGGTATTTCTAGAAGATTTTCCAATGCACCGTTGTTGCTATGTTGTCATGATGTTTGTTTGAGGCAGGTTCTTACATAAGACAAGATCTGCATAGTGCCCAACCTAGAGAGGCAGATGCCCTACCAAGGTGGGTCACAATCGACATGCCCCTTCTTACCGGCGATATGGAAGAGGGCACACTGGAGAGCTGGAGCAGAGATATTGCTCTAGCACAGGGCTTTTCAACCAGTGATACGGGTACCACCTGTGGTACATTGGCACCTAGCAGGTGGTACGCGATCATCCTAGAAACATGGTAGCAGGGGAGGGGAATGAGGTGAACCGGTGGCAGCACTGTACAAGCCTGAGCGAGAGATGGCTGGAGCTGCAGGGGTGTCCGGGCTCAGCTAGGTGCCAATGTACTATAGGTAGTACCCGTACCACTGGTTGAAAAGCCTTGCTTTAAGGAACCTGACATCCCTTCTTTGCAAAAATGGATCAAATAACTACAAAACACCTGGCTGGTAGTGCGTAAAGCACTAGATGAGACCAGAAATGCTTATAAAGCCCAAGCAGATAAAAAGAGGATAGAGCAAAACCCTTTTAGGACTGGAGATAAAGTTTATCTATCTACTAAATACTTACAATCATTGCAGCTTTCTAAGAAGTTGGGGCCTAAATTTGTAGGACCTTTTCCTATTAAGTGCATTATTATCCCAGTGACGGTGGAACTAGAGCTCCCTAAGAGCCTAAGATAGAGCCATCCTGTCTTTCATTGTAGTTTACTCAAACCTGAGATTATATCTACCATTAGACCTCCAGCCTCTCCCATGCCTATGCCAGTGTCGGTGGAGGGAGAACAACATTTTGAAGTAAGTGAAATTCTTGATTCTTCAAAACACATGGTTCCACCCAATACTTAGTAGCTTCGAAAAACCTCCCCTGTGCACAAAATGAATGGGTGTATAAAAAGCATGTTAGAGTTCCCAAGCTACTTAAATGATTTCATGCAAAGTATCCTGACAAGCCTGATTGATGTGACTATTTTATTTGTTTTCCTCCCTTTTCCCTTTCTTTTACAGGTGGAATTCCCATTTTTCTAGTGGGTCCGAATGTCAGGCCCCAAAGAAATGTTTCCTCATTTATTTTAGCTTCGTAACTTTCTTTGTTGCCTGCAATTCTATTGGGAGGGGGGAGCTTTGGGGATGCTTTGCACTTTCTGCTTTGTTGCCCTTCCCCCAGGGGATGGAATATCTCATCCTTATCTGAGAGACGTTTATGCTTGGAGCCAGAAGAAATCGAAAGTGAGAGAGACCTTGAAGAGCCCGCCGAAAAGACCAGTTACCAAAACATGATGCCACCTGTGGATTGGCTGGGATTCAAATGAACACTGGGACACTGGAGGGAGGAGTATTGAATGGTACTTTTAATATATTGCTTCGCGGGTTTTTCTCTCAGATCTCGCCTTGATTTCCCTGCTGTCCCTACCCCCTAATAAAAGTTCCTTTTGAAACAATGCCTGTTTCAAGAGTTCTGCTTTCTTGGGTGGCTTAGCTGAGGTGGGTCCTTACACATTCCTGGAAAAAGGCCTTTTCACAATTAAAGAGCAGAAAATAGAAACATCATCCCTGAAGAGAGCAGGGTTGTTTTTTCTAATGATATGAGGAGAATCCTCCCACAGAGGATAGAGTTCTGTTTTTCCAAATCATGTTTCAGTATTGGGAAGGAGCCAGGATGAGCTGTCTTTGGACCAACTCAATAGAGAATGGATTATTTATAGAGCATCTGGAGCAATCTAGCTGTCTACACAGCCATATTATTAATAATAATAGACATAAATATTTTTATTTCTATTTCATTACATATTTGTGCATCATTTACTCATAATTAAAATTTAAACATGTTAGAAATCTTTCAGTATTATAATATTAATTCTCTCCAAAACAAAAATAAAATCTTGGAGTTTAATAGTCTATTCTTTTGCAGTGTTTAAAAGCATACAGTTTCAGTAACATTTATTATTATTATTTTGGATATAGACCAGCACAGAGCTAATAACATAACAATTACACTAAAGTAGAAATACAAATAAAAAGTAATATTTACAGAATAAAATAAGGTAAAGATAAAATTATTAACATAAAATTGCAGAGTTCATGAATTAAAAAAACAAAAGAATCCTACAAAATTATGATTAAATTTTACAATAAATAATCTAAATGTTATAAACTTAGACCGATAACTAAAACAGAACAGAAGTAATACTAGAATTTATAAAAATTCTATGAAAATGTAAGACTATGCTAACTGAAGTCTAATACTTACTGAAACCCTGCTAGAGTTTGTTGGAATTAAGACTATTTTGTTCCAGATAATTCTAACAAAGAAAAAGCAAAATAAAACAGAATGGAATGTGTTTGTTTAAGAGGAGAGGCAGGGGGAAGAAGAAATAGTAGGGGAAAAGAAGGCAAAATATTTCAAGTTATAGAAGGCTAGTTAGGACTTACCATCAGCTCACTTAATAGAATTGTTTACATTTAATCAGTTCAGACACAGAACAAAGCTATTTTGTATGAAATCTCTGCCACTCGATCAGTTAGCAACACACTAAATAATCAGCCTCCAGCCTGCCTAGTTTTATGTTATACACAGGGAAATATATATTTCTTATATATTTCTATCAAAAGAGCAGCACAATAACATTAGCGACAGAAGAAGAAAAAACCTCTGCAATCACCAAAATGAAAAATGCAAACAATATATAAGGAACAGTTGCTGGAATTGGGTATGTCTAGTTTAACGAAGAGAAGGACGAGGGGGGACATGATAGCAGTGTTCCAATATCTCAGGGGCTGCCACAAAGAAGAGGGAGTCAAGCTATTCTCCAAGGCACCTGAAGGCAGGACAAGAAACAATGGATGGAAACTGATCAAGGAGAGAAGCAACCTAGAACTAAGGAGAAACTTCCTGACAGTTAGAACAATTAACCAATGGAACAACCTGCCTCCAGAAGTGGTGAATGCTCCAACACTGGAAGTTTTTAAGAAGAGACTGGACAGCCATTTGTCCTAAATGGTGTGTGGTTTCCTGCCTGAGCAGGGGGTTGGACTTGATGACCTCCAAGGTCCCTTTCAACTTTATTATTATTATTATTAACTTGCCCCCAGAAATTGTGGGTGCTCCATCACTGTAGATTTTTAAAAAGAGGCTAGACAGTTACTTGTCTGAGATGGTGTAGGTTCTCCTACCTGAGCAGGGGCTGGACTAGAAGACCTCCAAGGTCCCTTCCAGCTTCTATTCTACACCTACTCTGTCCCACCATCTGTTTTTGCTTGAGGTTGGAGAGCAGGTCACCGCTGATCTTCTCATCATTCTCAGGTCTTGCCCTTGGCCAGTGCATGGAACACATTCCTCTCACACATTCGGCACACCTTGGCCCCGCCACCAAGGCCACCAGCATTCCCCTAGTGCAACCAACACATTTCGGCCCCGCTAAGGGCCACCACCACCACTGAGGTTGCCAGCAGCTTATATAGGTCCATTAGGCATACCCAGGCCCAGCAGGCAAAAGATGAACACCCCAAGCAGGAAAAGCCGAATCCCATCAGTGCCATGGCCATGCAGAGATGGAGGGGAGGCACACAATCCTGGCTGAGTCTGGGCAGCCATGGTGCTGATGGAAATCTGTCTTTCCCCACTCAGGGTGGCTGTCTTTTGCCTACTGGGACTGGGCATGCCTAATGGACCTGCATGAGCTCCTAGTGGCCTTGGTGGCAGCCTGTGGTGGGGCTGAGATGCGTCGGTTGCATGAGGTGAATGCATTCCATGCACAGGCCAAGAGGAAGACCTGTGAGGGGGTCAAGGAGATGATCAGCAGCAACCTGCTCTCTGACCACAAGCAAAATCAGTCAGTGGGATGGAGTAGGAGCATCTGGCATGCTCACATCACGTGCCTCCCTCCTGCCTCTGCCTGCTTCTTAGAAGGTCAGCCCAGTGATGGCAGCTGGCTGTGGAGGCAGGCTGCAGCTGCTGCCGGACACCATTGGCCCCTGCGTGCTCGCTACCTCCTGTGTGTGCTGAGTGCTTGGGATGGCGCTCAGCCGGGCTGGGCTGGGGAAATGAGGGCCAGTCCCTCGCCAACTCTGGTGCAGCCCCGTGAGTCAAATATGGGCCAATTTCAGGCCAGATTTGGGCCACAGGCCTTGGGTTTGACATGTCTGCTCTATATCCTCTAAAACCCTATATCCTCTTTTAATAATAATAATAATAATAATAATAATAATAATAATAATAATAATAATAATAATAATAATAATAAAGTTGGAAGGGACCTTGGAGGTCATTGAGTCCAACCCCCTGCTCAGGCAGGAAACCCTACACTATTTCGGACAAATGGCTGTCCAGTCTCTTCTTAAAAACTTCCAATCTTGGAGCATTCATCGCTTCTGGAGGCAGGTTGTTCCACTGATTAATTGTTCTAACTGTCAGGAAGTTTCTCCTTAGTTCTAGGTTGCTTCTCTCCTTGATTAGTTTCCATCCGTTGCTTCTTGTCCTGCCCTCAGGCGCTTTGGAGAATAGCTTGACTCCCTT